GCTGAGCGGGGTTGGTAACAAGTCGGCCGGACGAGGCTTGCATGGCGACAGGGGCTGGTTGTTGGTCTACAGCCTGGGCCTGGAGGAAGGCTGTAAGGGAAGGGCTTGGCCTCTCCCCTGCCCGCAGCCAGTGGGTGCGGGCCTCCATGGCATCCTTCCGGCAGTCTTCCCGATGTGCTCGTGCGAGTGTTGCCTGGGCTTCGACCAGTTGTTGAAGTGGCTGTTGTGCTGTGGGGGCTGCATCCACCGCTTGCCTTGCCAGCTGGACCTGCGGTAACACCTCCCGAGCCCGGGCCCCTGGTCTGAGCTTGCGGTGTTGTGCCGCCTTGTTGAGCTGAAGGGCCAGGGTGCTCAGCCGGCGTTTAAAAGCTGGCCACCACGCAATCAGGCCCAAAGGGTTGTCCTCCGCAGATGGTGCTGTGGCACACTGGCTGGTGATCCATGCCTCCATGCTTGCGGCGAGGTCCTGGTGTGATGTGAAGGCCAGACGCACTCGTCGATTCCCTGGGCCCTTGCTCTCTGGTCGGCATGGCAGCAGGTGCATGACCATTGGCTTGTGATCCGACGGTGTTTGCACGGCAATCTCCGTCTTAGCAATGTACGGCATGGTGCCATGGTCTACATAGATGCGGTCTAGGCGGGAGGCCCCGACGCAGGGAGCTCTGTAGAAGTGGGTGTAGTCACAACTGTATGTATGTATGTATGTATGTATGTATGTATGTATGTATGTATGTATGTATGTATGTATGTATGTATGTATGTATGTATGTATGTATGTATGTATGAGGGAACTGAGTGTGTGGATATGCGTTAGTGCCCGCGTGTACTACATGATACGCGATAAACATGCGAGCCACGGGCAGGAACTGGCGGGATGACTAACTTTACAGAGTCTTAGCCGTAGGCACATGTTTTGTCGATGCTACAGCCATATGTCGCGACAGTCCAGCGGTGTAGTCAGGTTGTGTGGGAGGTTGTAGGTGACACGCAAGGGATTGAGGTGAACNGGGGGACCCGTGTAGATTCTGGGATGGT